TTTTTAAAGGCTATCAACTCAGTAGAGCAATGAGAAACAGATCAAATTGTACTTGTTCTCCTACAAGCAGCCTCCACCAGGACACCTCTTACTGCTGCAGATGTGTCATTTCCTTTGGTAGGACCAGGGACCATATAGTTAAGGTGAGGGTTGTTGTAGATGCTTCTGGTGTCACTGTGCCTGTCCTTTTTAAGAGCTTCCTTTTTCTGTGGAGAACAAGTCCACCCAGACGCCATGCTTTTCATAACTGGAGGACCTGGCAAACTCACCACACGCTGCACACATATACATATGTATACATACACAATAGTGTTGATTATTCCGAACAATAACAGGGTAAGGCAGTTGATTTGCCATTGTTAAAAACTGATTTACAGTAACTTAGAACAACTGTACTTTGGTTGGATTAGCAAATCGTGTGTTTAAACAAATCCCATATGTTGGGCAACAGTTCAAATAAGCACAGCGAAGTGTTGCCCAAACGTGGTTCTCTGACTCTCTCATATTTTTAAGGCTGGGCTTCAAAATCAAAACAACAGCTCCCCCGCGCGCCCCCCTCCCCAACAGCAGGCAAATGCTTGTTAACTCTGGACACCCTTGCCATAAATTCTTGATGTTCAAGGTCTACTGAGGTAGACATGGGAAATTAGTGGCCCCTTTTGAAAAGAACAAAACCATCAAGTGTTCAAGTTATCTTGTGTCTTATTTTTACAAAGTGATGTCCCAACAGAGAAGAATGTGAGGCTGTGTGTGATCTCCACTTCCCAGTTTGAGCGTGGGACGTGCTTCCAGATGCCACCTGGCAGCAGTGCCTTCCCCTTTGTAAAGGACATCGTGTGGCATTCAGAGTCAGGCAGGCAGTTTGAGGTGCCTTTATGAGAAAGACGTGCTGGGTGGGGCTGGGAGAGGACAATTATTGACAGTGATGTGCAATGAAGTGACAAGATGAGAGCAGAATAATAAGAGCTTTGAATTTGAAGTGATTTTTTTTCATAAGTTATTTATTCCTTTTTTTTCTGTGTAAATATATTTATTTTACTGTGGAGCTCTAACAACATCTGGATCGTAACATGTGCAGAATGTATGGTAGGAATGTATTCTCTTGTAGGAATGTCAATCTGTATTAAAAGGGGGTCCAAGCCAGACCCCTGGGTCTTCTCATCATATGCACAGTCCACATTCATTTTTACTCTCTTCTCTAATATGGGTCTATTTGAAATATGCAAAAGGTATGGATGAGGAATGTTTTAATACCTCCAAATTTTTAAGAAAATCAAGCATCAAGGGGTTGATATTTTTAAATGTTTTTAAGTAGCACTTTCTCTTTATGACAGAAGGGGCAACCACACTGACACCCTTGTTCACACCAAAGGGTGACAACTAGCCAGAGCCTCCGATACACCTCGAGTGTCTTTATCAATTGAGCTTTTTATTGCCATAGTCCCTTGGAGTGTCCCAACTGCCCTGAGGTCAATCAAGGAAAATTTCTTAAATAAATAAGCTCCAAAGAGCCAAAGTATCAATTTACGGATCGTTTTTAAAGCTTAAATTTATTAACCACCTTTGTGGTAAACAATGAATTATGAATACTGCAGGGCAGCCTTCTTAAGTGACAGATGTAAAAAAAAAAACAAAAAAAAAACCTAAGACTCTACCTTGATTAAAGATTGTTATTCTCTACATGAATTGTCTTAATTTCAAAACCTTGCTGTTACAAATTGGGCCTTTATACATTTTCTGAAAATATTGAAAAGAACATATTTAACCTGTTCTGGCTATAAATGGTTAACTTCCTGTAATTGCCTACAACAGTGAGGTGTGTGCATCCTGCTTGTGTACAATTATTTTCAGTGCTTCTAAGAATTTCTTGAGTCTAAATAGTTCTTAAAAATTAGCCAGGAGCAAATGTTATTGCAGACAAAGTGAATAAAAATTTTGGACATCTTTTGGGGATAACAAGTTTGGAAGAGAAGTGTAATCCATACGAGCAAACAACTTAAGATTTTGCAAAAGATGTACATAGTTGGTGCATGGTTTTTCAGGAGGGCTTTTGTCAAAAAAAAAAAAAAAAATTAAATTAAAAAAAAGGAGGTATAGCCTTTTCCCCACAGACCTGAGAGCTGTGCCTTTTCTATGCAATATTACAGACGTTACATCGGAACCCAGATGGCTGTATTCACATGTAGGTTTGGGCTGTAATCTAAACAATTGAACAGATTAAATGTACATGGAAATGAGCAGTCTTACTTTTGTAGTTTTATATTATACAATAAACAGTTAAAAGATGAGAGTGGCGTGTTGCAGTTTCATTCTGACCAGAGAGCATAACCCGCTCGTATGTCACAATTTGCTCATTTTACAGAACAGTCCACCCATGGCCTCTGCTGGAGTTGGCGCTGTTGACCTTCTCCCACCACCTTGGTCTCAGGAGCACCTGGTTCTCCCCGTCTTGGGTCCTTCTCGACCTCATTCTCACTTCTCTCCTTCAACTCTCTCTAAACATTGTTTTTTTCCAGGGTTTGGTTGGTGACCAGATCTTGTGCTGAGCCTCCACTTCTACTGCTTGCTTTCCTGAGGAAATCTAATCCACTCAGGGCTCTGAAAACTTGTTTCAAGATCCTGCCTCTCTTCTGAACTCTAGATTTCAGTATCTACCAAGGTTTGTGCATCTAAACAGCCTCATTTCCTCATGGGGCCGATCCTTCCTCGTTGGGCCGCTCAGCCTCATTACCCTCCTCTCAGGCCTCCTTGCCCCTATGCCACCTCCACTCCAGGCCCCTCTGTTCCCAAATGCCATCGATCCCCACCACCTCCTCTCCATCTCTACCACAGCTTATGCTATTCAGGCCCTCTTCCCTGCTAGCCTCTGGTTATTGCACCTGCTTCCTAACTACTCTAACTGCCCAGTTGTTAGCGTCAACTCTCCTTGACGCTAGAGTTGACATCTCAGAGCACCAGTGATTCACACATTTGTTGCACATCTTCCAACAGCGCCTCCTGATTTATATAATCCGTCCGTCCCCCACCATCTTCCAGAGGTTAACGGAAGAGGTCCTGTGTAACCTCCTTGGCAGCTGGGCCATCTTTTATGGGTTCATGGGAGCCAGCCTCGCCTGGTCCAGGTGATTCTGGGCCACCACACCAGCTGGTGAAGGAATCGCCTGGTTATGAGGGACCTCGGAAATGAAGGTTCCATTCAATCAGCAATGGAATATGGGAGGTGGGAGTGTTGGAGAGGTGTCATGCGTTGACTTGTGTAAGTCCTGACCCCCAGTACCTCAGAATGTG